GATGGCTAATGAGTATGGGGTTTCTGTGTGCACGTGTGTAGGGGGGTGTTTCTTATTGGATGATGAAAATGTTCCAAAATTGATTATGGTGTTGGTTGCACAATGCTGTGAATATACTAAAAACCACTGAATTGTACACTTTAAATGAACAAATTTATAGTATGCAAATTGCATCTCAATAAAGATTTTTTTTTTTTACTCATCGCTGTAAGAAATCAGACCTCAAGGCATTCACCCTTACCCCAAGTAGCCAAACAAATATCCCTAGCCCTCACAAAAGGTTTATTATCTAAAGAACATAAACCTGAACCAGAAGCTGAACACAGAAATACACATGGAGAGGGAGAAAGAGGGGTGTACCAGACCAAAACCAGGGGGAAGTCTGCATACTAAACAGCATGATAATTCGATTCTTCCTCCATTTCCTTCTTTCACTTTATAATCATCAAACCTGAAACTAGCAGATATCCCTTTGCAGAAATGAAAGAAATACAGAGAAAAGATTTATGGATTGTAATATTTCAAAATTTTCCAATGAAACTTTTTACATGTCCTTGTTACCCTATAGTAATAAGGCTTCCCTAAACCCAATATTCACATATTCAAGTGCCTACCTTGAATGTCTAAAAGGAATGTCAAACTTAACATATCTAAAACCAAATTCCTGACCTCTCCCAAACTTACTCCACTTGTATTATTTACCATTTCAGTAATGGAAATGCCATTCATTTGTCTGCTCAAGCCAAGATCTTTGGCATTATTCTTTACTCCCTCTTTTTCTCTCATAATCCAGGTTCAATGAATTGGCGATTTCTGTGGGTTCTATCTTGCAAAAGTATACCAAATTTGACCATCTCAACTGCATAATCTACTACAACGTAGTAGTAGAGGGGATGGTCAAACGTGGATACATTTTTGCAAGACAGAACCTTCCTCTACTACTTCCTTGTCTAAAATACAATAATCTGTCAACTAGATTATTTTAATAGTCTCCAGAATGGTCTTTCGTAATTTATTATCAAAGAGTGTCCAGAATAATGCTTTTAAAATATAAATGAGAAAAGACATATCACTCCTCTGCTCAAAACTTCCCAATAGCTTTCTACCTTAGACAAAAACCAAAGTTCTTACAATGAACTATGGAAGACCTTCGAAATCCTGTATGATCTGTCTACCATTCTATATATCCTACTAGTCTCTCTCTTGCTAATTCTATTCCAGTCACAAAGGCCTACTTGCTATTCCTCAAACATTACAAATACGCTTGCAACTCAGGTCTTACACCTTCTATTCCTTCTACCTAGAATGCTCTTCCTTGGGATATCCATACAGCTCAATCCCTTCCTTCCTTCAGGTCTCAGCTCAAATGTCACCTTATCAAGTTAGCCTTCCATGACCATCAATATAAAAGGATACCCTATTACTCATTACCTCCCCTGGACTCCTTTATTACTGTTCACAGAATTATCACAAACTAACACACTATACAGTTTCGTTTAATATGTGATTCCTCCTGACTGAAATATCAACATCAAGAAGTAAGAGGCTTTTCCGCCAGGTACAGTGGCTCACACATGTAATCCTAGCACTCTGGGAGCCAAGGCGAGCTGATCACTTGAGGACAGGAGTTCAAGACCAGCCTGGGCAACACGGCAAAATCATGTCTCTACTAAAAATACAAAAAATTATCCAGGCATGGTGGCACACACCTGTAACTCCACCTACTCAGGAGGCTGAAGCAGGAAAATCATTTGAACCTGGGAGGGGGAGGTTACAGTGAGCTGAGACCACCACTGCACGCCAGCCTAGGCAACAAAGCAAGACTCTGTCTCACAAAAAAAAAAAAAAAAAAAAAGAGAAGGAGGAGGAGGAGGAGGAGGAGGAGGCGGCTCTTCTTTGTTCTCTGCTATGCCTCTATGACAAGGAAGAGAAGGAGGCAGCTTTTCTTTGTTCTCTGTTATCCTTCTGTGTAGAAGGAGGAGGAGGAGGAGAAGAAGGAGGGGGAGAAGGAAAGGGAGGGGGAGAAGCAGGAGGAGGCTTTTCTTTTTCTCTGCTATGCCTCTGCAACCCAGATATGTGCCTGACACTCCAATAAATATTTACTGAATAAATGAATACTGCAGTCATAATGTAGGAACAGGATAATACAAAAATGACACAGAGAACAAGCTCCCAGAAATTAAAAAGAAAAAAGGAAACATTCAATTAGAAAGTGAAGTCAAACAAATCTCCTAAGAAGCATCAACAACAAAAAAAGACAAAGAGAAAGTTAAGGAAAGAGTAAAGTATCAATTGAGTTGGACTAACACATGAATAATAAAAGTCTCAGAAAGGGAGAAAAGAAAAAAGAAAAAACTGAGGAGGCTTTGTGAAGAAATAACATAAGAGAATTCCTGAAAATGAAGGACATGAGTTTCCTGGCTAAAACAACCACTGCATGTCCTGCACGCTGAATAAGAAAGATCCATACTAAGAAACATTGTTATCTCTGATGTTCTGAAATTTCACAACCAGTGGGAACTCTATAGCACAAATAATTTGATGCGTTCAAAAATATACTAAAAGGAAAAAAAGAAAGATACAGATGGAGAACGTGTAGATTAAATGAGACTCAAGAGACATATAGACATGTTGATTTATTTGAGATTCAGAATCAAACTATAAACATATACAACATTTATGCCATTTATGAGGCAATTTAAAATTTGAATAATGCCTGGATATTTGACTATATTCAGTAATTATCAGTAAGCAATTTATATATGATATCGATAATGCAACTTCAAATAAAGGACCCCTTATTTTTGGAAATCATAAGAAAAAATTAAGGTTAAAGTGATATGATGGCTGGAGATTTCAGTATAATATGGGAGGAGGAAAAATCAGTAAGGGTATAAGGATACAAGATTGTTCATAAATTGATCAATGTTGAAGATGGTGATGGATATTAGGTTCATTATATTATTATGTCTACTTTTATATATATTTAAAGTTTTCTATATCTATATAGATCTATGGGAGGAGATTATTATGGGAACCAGTTTGTGTGGTTATGGAAGCTAAAACCCATAACAGACCATCTGTAAGCTGGAGACCCTGCGGTGCCAGTAGCATGGCTTAGTCCAAGTCTGAAAAACTCAGAACCAGGGAAGCCAATCTATCTCTCTGTCTATCTATCTATAGATAGAGAGATAGATATTAGTTCTACTACAATACTCATACAGTCTGGTCTTAGAGTTATTGCACTTTTTGGTTACCAGCATACTGATCTCCTTATAAGAATTCTTTTTTGAGGTTTTAATTTTGTTAGAACTGGGAGGGATTTATTGGGGGGTGAATTACCTCTTTCAACTTAATGTCCTCCTCCTGGTATTTAAATCCTGAACATAGTTTTTTAAAAGAATGAAAATAATTGATGCCAGTTCATCCCAACTTCATGCATCAGTTCTGCTCCCAAGACCTGTGGAGAGACTCTGGGATCCATATGCTTTCTCAGTTTGATTCCTTAGCCTTCCTTCTGATTCTGTGAACATGATTCCCATACTGAACTCCCTATTTAAGTTAACCAAAGTTGGTCTCTGTTGCAATGCAACCAAAGAACAACAATTGATGCCCCACTGAAGCTTTATAATATGTATTCTGGTAGGGAAAAAAAAACATCTATTACTCTTATCAAAATATTTTAGATACTCTCACCTGGTCACTTTAGTATTCTACAGGAATTCTAGATTCTGTTTTCCAAATTAATTCCATTGAAGTTTGGCTTGAAACTGCTTTAATCCATAACACAATCTAGGGAGGATGTATATCTTTACAGTGTTAAGTGTTCCTATAATATCTCACCATGTTCGTTTTAGACCTTCAGTTAAATTTTATAATTTTAATGTATTTGTTGATTTTATTCCTTTTTTGTTACTGTGGTGAAGAAAACCTTTCAGTATTAGATTATCTGATTATCACTGGTATGTATGAATATAAACATAATTGTCATACATTATTTTCTGCCTAGCCTCCTTATTGAATGTTTCTACTAGTGTCAATAATTTTAAAGCTGATTTTACTATTCATTTTATTTACATATTATCTAAAAATGTTAGGAATCATACTTCCTTCCTCCCAAAAGTTATAATCCTTATTGCTATTCTTTTTTTTTTTTTTTTTTTTTAAAGATGGGGCTTCACCATGATGGCCAGGCTGGTCTTGAACTCCTGACCTCAGGTGATCCACCCACCTTGGCCTCCCAAAGTGCTAGGATTACAGGAATGAGCCACCGCGCCCGGCCCTCTTATTGCTATTCTTAACAATGTTAAATGACACAGTGAGTTTAATAAGTGTTAACTCTAGCACTTTACCATTAAATATTCTTCAAAAGTATTTATTTACCTAGTAAAGATTATAAATTATATGTAGGACAAAACTTCTTTATCTGTTTAAATATTTCATTTCCCACAAAGCAAAGAGAAATTTTAAAAAGAAGATGGACTAACGAAATCAATTAGATTTCTCTTAAGATTAAAGTTATTTTCAGTATTATTCACCAATAAAAATCCTATTTTTCATCTGTAAATTGATGCTCCTTTCCTAAGTCTCATCGGAAAAACATTCCACAAAACTAGCTATTATACGTGATTCAAACTACAAAATTAAAATGTAATATTACTTTTATCATGTAGAATCTATGTACACCAAAACTTTTCCTGCGTTGCTTACTCAACCTAATAATGTAAACAATTACTCTCAAACTTCCAATATATTCCATGAGAGTTAATTGTTAAAAAGTGAATACATTTTTTTAAACTAGGGCAAAACACAAAATACTCAGATTTAAAAAAGTTTTCAAAGAAGCCAAATACACATTATAAATAAATGCCCCTAAAATGAGTTTTATATATTATTGCAGAGTAAAACACTCCAACCTTAAATCACAAAACGGGTTTTATGTACGTGTGTGTGTGTATAAGTTGTACACATATATATTATAAAAGAATGAGAAAATGTACCTCAAATTCTTTTCTAAGGCGTTCCTCTCGTTGAGTGCTAAATTCAAGTTCGCTTGTTTGTCGCTGTAAAAGGTCAGAGCAGTCCATATGTTCTGTTTCTAATTTTTCTACTTTCTTATGCATATTTTGCACAGCAGTATCTTGCTCCTGGAAAATAATTCATTTTTGCATCAATAAAGTTTATAAGCCATCAATGACTAAGAGTCACTCCAACAGAAGACAGTGAGTAGCTAAATCTGTGCTTCGACCATAATAATAAGTTAATTTAAATAGGCAAAAGAGGCCTAGATATTTTCCATCAATGTTTCTGAATGTCCATGAGTTAAAAAGCACTGCTGAAGTTTTACAATTCAAAAACTCTGACTAATATTACAATGGAAAATGTTATAGCATATGAGAATGTTATTAGTTCAACCAACCTCAAGTATTTATATAATGCTGTGGTTCAACAATCATATATAATGTTTCCCCTTCCCATTAAAATTTTTAAATGTATATTGCCCTTTCTATAATAAGTAATGATTAACTTGAATGCCTAATAATAATGCTTATATGAGCTCATGGTGCTTAAATTACATGCTTACAGCTTTTAAAATTGCATCCACTAGATGGCTGTGTTTCATTTACTCTTAGGTTTTCAAAAAACTTTCAAATCTTTGCTCAGCTATTGAAAAAGAAGTAACCTCAGGTAGTCTTATACTAAAATCTCTCGATCCCCTTTCCCAACTAAACACAGAAATGGGAGTTGAATTTTACTGAAAAAGTTCAAACATAAAGTTAACATATATATATCAAAGGCATTCTCCACAGTAACTAATCTAGATTCACTGTTCTCATTTAAGGGCTTTAAAAAAGCCCTCTTTTCCACATTTCCCTCACCAGCATAATGTTAATCATAGATAAACACATATGAATATTTTAGATGCTTCCAAGAATACCTAGCCACTCAAAAGATACTAAGGGAATCCAAGTATGTTGCAAACATCAAATACAATTCTCTACCAAAAATTCTAGTTTGAAAATCACCCAGCAGCCTAAGTTCACAGTGAAGAGATGAAAAAACATTTTAAATTCAGCTCCTTATTTCATATCTCCAATTTCTTATTTCTTTTTTTTTTTTTGTACTTTTCTTTCAGGTTCAGGGGTACATGTGCAGATTTGTTATATAGGTAAACTCATATCACAGGGATTTGTTGCATAGATTATTTCATCACCGAGGTACTAAACCTAGTGCCCAACAGTTATTTTTTCTGATCCTCTCCCTTCTCCCACTCTCCACCCTTAGGTAGGCCCCAGGGTCTGTTGATCTCCTGTATGTGTACATGTGTTCTCATCATTTAGTTCTCACTTAGAAGTGAGAACATGTGGGGTTTGGTTTTCTGTTCCTGCATTAGTTTGCTAAGGATAATGGCCTCCAGCTCCTTCCATGTTCCTGCAAATGATATGATCTCATTATTTTTTATGGCTGCATAGTATTTAATGGTGTATATATACCACATTTTCTTTATCTAGTCTAACACTGATGAGCATTTAGGTTGACTCCATGTCTTTGCTACTGTGAATAGTGCTGCAATGAACATATGCGTGCCATGTGCCTTTGTAATAGAACAATTTCTATTCCTTTGAGTAAATAACCCAGAAATGGGATTGCTGGAGTCAAATGGTAGTTCTGTTTTTAGTTCTTTGAGGAATAGCCACATTGTTTTCCACAATGGTTGAACTAACTTACACTCCTGCCAATGATGCATAAGCGTTCTCTTTTCTCCACAACCTTGCCAACATGTTATTTTTTGACTTTTTAATAATAGCCATTCTGACTGGTGTGAGATTCCAATTCCTTATTCTTATGAATCCCCTTATTCATAAGATTACTATTCTATAGCAGGCTATACATAAACTCTTAATAATTATTTTCTTCAGGTAATAGACTTCTTAATATAGGCATACCTTAGCAATATGGCTGGTTCAGTTCCAGACCACTGCCATAAAGCAAATATTGCAATAAAGTGAATCACATCAATTTTTTGGTTTCCAAAAAATTGCAAATAAAAGTAATGTTTGTACTATACTGTAGTCTATTAAGTGTGCAATAGCATTATATCTAAAAATGTAATTATTTTAATTTAAAAATACTTGATTGAGGCCAGGTGCAGTGGCTCACACCTGTAACCCCAGTACTTTGGGAGGCCAAGGTGGGACAACCACTTGAGCCCAGGAGTTCGAGATGAGGCTAGGCAACACAGTGAGACCCTATCTCCACAAAGAATTAAAAAAAAAAAAACTAGCCAGGTGTGGTGGTGCACACCTGTAGCTCCAGGTACTCAAGAGGCTGAGGCGGGAGGATGGTCTGAGCTCAGGAGATCGAGGCTGCAGTGAGTCATGATAGGGCTACTGCATTTCCGTCCCTTGCAGCAGAGCAAGATCCAGTCTCCAAAAAATAAAAAGAAAAGAGGACAACAACGTCAAGGGAGGGGTGAGGGGAAGACATCTTCAAAACAAATATGACTTATATCCTCAAAGAGTTAAATTAAGACATTATAAACATGAAACAAGGAGAATATACTATTAAGAAAGGTATCATCAAATAACAAGAATGAGCTCTTAGAAATTAAAAACCAGCCAGGCGCGGTGGCTCACGCCTGTAATCCCAGCACTTTGGGAGGCCGAGGCGGGTGGATCACGAGGTCAAGAGATCAAGACCATCCTGGTCAACATGGTGAAACCCCGTCTCTACTAAAAATACAAAAAATTAGCTGGGCATAGTGGTGCGTGCCTGTAGTCCCAGCAACTCGGGAGGCTGAGGCAGGAGAATTGCCTGAACCCAGGAGGTGGAGGTTGCGGTGAGCCGAGAACGCGCCATTGCACTCCAGCCTGGGTAACAAGAGCGAAACTCCGCCTCAAAAAAAAAAAAAAAAAAGAAATTAAAAACCCAAAAGATTAAATAAAATTTAATAGAAAGGTTGCAATATAAAATTAAGACAATATCTCAGAAAATAATAAGAGTAAAAATATAAAAAGAAGGACAATAGAAGAGATTAGCATCATAAGGATGACAATTTTATATCAAATTGATCTACAAATGCAATATAATTTTAATCAAAATTTAAAAATTGAGAAATATAATAAGCCATTCCTCAAACTCACATAGAGAAGTAAAAGGCCAATAATAACCCCCTTCCATACCCCTACAAAATATCAAGAATAAAGATACTTTCTCTACCAGATATTAAGACTTATATTCTAAAGGTATAGCGAATAAAATAATTTAGCACTAATGCAGAAACAAACATGTAAGTAAAACAGAACAGAGTACTCAGGAACAAAGTCTTAGATATGAAAGAACTTGATATATGATGAAAATGACATTATAAATCAATATGTGGTAAAAGAACAGACAATTGAATTACTAGTACAGAACACTTGGCTAATTGCTTCTCAGCCTTTTGGCTAAGGTCAAGTGCAGAACACTTGGCTATCCATTTGGAAAAAAAAATTAGCATCTCATGCTATATACACATTATCTTTATGACTCTGGGTTATATAAGACAAAACAATCACTACTACAAAGAAAAATACTGATAAATTCAACTACATTGAAATGTAAAACTAGGCCAGGAATGGTGTCTCATGCCTGTAATCCCAGTACTTTGGGAGGCTGAGGCAGGTGGAACACCTGAGGTCAGGAGTTCAAACCAGCCTGGCCAACATGGTGAAAACCGGTCTCTACTAAAAACACAAAAAAAAATTAGATGGGTGTGGTGGCGGTACCTGTAATCCCAGCTACGCCAGAGGCTGAGACAGGAGAATCGCTTGAACCCAGTAGGTGGAGGTTGCAGTGAGCCAAGATCACGCCACTGCACTCCAGCGTGGGTGACAGAGTGAGACTCTGTGTCCAAAAATGAAAATTTAAAACTGTTCATCATACACAATGTAAACTGCCTCTCTGTCTCTACAAAGAAGAAAAAGACATTTGCAAAAGGAATATGTGTAACCAAGGGCTAGTTACCAAACATATATTTTTAAAAACAAAATAAAACTCCTTTTTTTTTTAAGATAGGGTCTTGCTTTGTAGCCTAGGCTGCAATCATAGCACAGTTCAGCCTTGACCTCCCAGACTCAAGCAATCCTCTCACCTCAGCTTCCCTGGTAGCTGGGATCACAGGTGTGCACCACCACAGCTGGCTAATTTTATTTTTTTAACAGAGACAGTATCTCTGTTGCCCAGGCTGGTTTTGAACTCCTGGACTCAAGCAATTCTCCCACCTCAGCCTCCTAAAGTGGAGGAGCCACCACCCCTGGCCAAAAGCTCCTATTAATCAATAAAAATATACCAAAAAATCCAAAAGAAAAAAGGCAAAAAATATAAACTGGTACTTCCCAAAAAGGAAATATGAATGGCCAATGAACATAACATGGTCAATGTCAAGGAAGAGGAAATTTAAGCAAGAATGAGATACAATTTCACACATACCCTATTTCAAAAGAAATTAAATCTGAAAAATGCCAAGAGGCTGTAAAGGAAGAAAAACTCTTCTTTCAAATTGTTACACCCACTTAAGAGAACAATTTGGCACATATTTTATATACATTAAACACATACCCACATAAAAACATTTGATGTTCATGGAATCACTGCCTGTAAGAATTTAAACTTGGAAAAGCTTAAATCTCAATGTCAGTGTTATGGTTTGAATGTTTGTCCCTTCCAAAACTCACGTTGAAATGTAATCCTCAATGCAACAGTAGTGAGAGGTGGGGCCTTTAAGAGGGGATTTGGTTCATGAGAGCTCTGCCCTCATGAATGGGTTAATCCATTCATGGATTAATAGATTAATAGGTTATCATGGGAGTGGAACTGGTGGCTTTTTAAGAAGATAAAGAGAAACCTGAGCTGGCACCCTCAGCCCACCAGCAAGCAATGCCCTGTGCAGCTCTGAACTCTCCAGAAGGCCCTTGTCAGATGCAGTCCCTTGCCCTTAGACTTCTCAGCCCCCAGAACTGTAAGAATAAATTCCTTTTCTTTATAAATTAATCAACTTCATGTATTCTATTATAAACAATAGAAAATTGACAAGGCAGTCAGGTAATGAGTAAATTATAGCACATACACAAGATAAAATACTATACAGCAGTTAAATTATGTGAACAGAAGCTAATTTATTAACTTTAATAAACCTCAAAAACACAAGTAGGCCAGACGTGGTGGCTCACACTTGTAATTCCAGCACTTTGATAGGCCAAGGCAGATGGATCACTTGAGCTCAGGAGTTCAAGACTAGACTAGCCAACATGGTGAAACCCCATCTCTACTAAATATATAAAAATTAGCCAGGTGTGGTGGCACGTGCCTGTGGTCTCAGCTACTCAGGAGGCTAAGGTGGGAGGATTGCTTGAAACCAGGAGGCAGAGGTTGCAGTAAGCCAAGATTGTGCCACTGCACTCCAGCCTGGGTGACAGAGTGAGACCCCGTCTAAAAGAAAAAAACACAGGTGAAAAATACAAGTTGGTCAAAGAAGCATCCGTATGGTATATCTTAAAATACAAAATACTAAAATAATACAATACACAGTCAATGTATACAGACAGAAAATTAAACACCAACTTCAGAATGGCAGTTATTCCTTTGTGGCTGAAATGGTGGCAGGATGGGGAAGTGATTCAGAATTGTCTTCAACGATGTAACAATTTACTGTTTGTTTACAATTCAAGTAAATATGACAAACACTAACATGATATAGGTAGAGAGTATTGATTACATTAATGGTATTGCTGGGTTATATTGGGCATTGATAATATAAACCCCTGAGGGGGTTGTATGTTCAAATATTTGCTTTAGGTTTATGGTTTTATCAATATAATCCAATTCTGAGATGCACTGTAACACACAAGAAAATCCAAAAGAAACATACAAAATACCTCATGAAATTTAAAGAAAAATTTGCCTCCATCCCAAATAAATGTAAATTTAAAATTTTTGTTACAGAACATATTTTCTAATCATACCTGTATCCTTATGTATGTGTGTGTGTGTGTGTGCGCGTGTGTGTGTGTGTGAAATAAAAGCATATTAAGGGCATTCGAAATTGAGGAAGTTTCTTCTTTTTGCCACGAGAGGGGGCTGTTGAACTTAAAATATTTCTAAATGAGGCTTGGTTTTGAACTGACATTTAACATCACAGGAAACTACATTTGGCTGTTAAAAAATATACTTGCTTTCTTTCCACATCTTCCAGAAACATAGCCCAAAAAGTATAATTTTTTTACAGATACTCATATAAAAAACATTTCGCAGAATCCAAAATATGGTTCCGTTCCAATTCAGAAGAATTACACGAGTATAGTTATTAAAGTATCAGAGCTAAATGTACTCCTCTTTTCTAGCTTATAAAAGTTATCAATATAGCTAACTACAACCTTCATCTATTACATGATTATCTCCTGAAAGACCCCAAACAATTCCTCTTGTCTAAGTCCCCAAGGCCAACAAAGTTCTACAATTAAAAAGCATTTGTTGCTGGAGAGTATAAACTGGTGCTTTGTATAACATATATCATAATTGTGAATCCATAAGCGTGAAGACGCAGTAATTATATTTCTAGGCAGTTACACAGAAGAATCACTTGTGGCCGGGCGCAGCGGCTCTTGCCGTAATCCCAGCACTTTGGGAGGCCGAGGCGGGTGGATCACAAGGTCAGGAGATTAGGACCTTCCTGGCTCACACTCTACTAAAAATACAAAAAACTGAACCCAGAAGGTGGAGGCTGCAGTGAGCCAAGATTATGCCCCTGCACTCCAGCCTGGGTGACAGAGAGAGACTCTGTCTCAAAAAAAAAAAAGAAATGAGAAACACTATCTCAAATTGAGTAACTTTTTAGGTAACACCAATAAGAAATCACGTTAATATTCCAGAGAAGGATGCCTCTATTTTGTGCTCCAATTCCTGATAATGAAAAAGAACATGGCATAAAATTGAGATTTTCTTTTTATAATGGGTCTAAATTCTAAAGCCCAGATAAGAGAAATATTCTAACAAGTTTTGTCTATTAAAGGTTTCACTGAGAAGGTTTAAAAAAAAAGAAAAAAACAATTCACTTAGAGAGCTACACAAAGAGAATACTATTAGATACTAACACCTAATTATAGTATGTAAAACTAAACCCATCAAAAGCCAACAGAGAAGAAAATTTGACTCTCTCCCTCAGATTGTTTCTAAAAAAACATTTTTTAACACAAAGTCACAATAGTTTCTTAAGATTGATTTATAAAAGGAAAAGTTATTTTATTTTATTAATAAAAAAAGACAAGTTAGGAAACAGAGCTCTAAACATTCTAGTTACAAAATACAATAAAATTTACCTTACAAAAGCAGCAAAGCAAGATACTATTGGAAGTAACTAGGGAGCATATTCCCCCATTTTTCTGTACACATCATTATGAAAGACTGACACCTAATTTTAATTTCTTTTAGTACTTCATATAGAAACTTCAGTATAACCACTGTGTTTCATTTAGGAGGATTTACAGGATTGATCAGGAAGCTATACCAAAATCACAACAGATACATATTTTTATACAGGTCTTCGAATTATATTTTATAAATTCAGATCACTGGCTGAGTGTTTAGAAATAGAAGGGCTATTTTAATTCACTTAATTTTGCTTGTTTATTCCAAGTAGCCTTTAAGAAAATTATCAAAAACAACTTAAATATCATGTTCTCTGTGAAAACTACCTCAGTCTCCCAGGTAGCTAATCAACTTCTCTTTTGTGGTCCTACAGCATTTTATTTAAAATTTTATCACACAACACTTTCCTCTTTTTTTTTTTTTTTTTTTTTTTGAGACGGAGTTTCACTCTTGTTACCCAGGCTGGAGTGCAATAGCGCCATCTCGGCTCACCGCAACCTCCGCCTCCTGGGTTCAGGCAATTCTCCTGCCTCAGCCTCCTGAGTCGCTGGGATTACAGGCACACGCCACCATGCCCAGCTAATTTTTTGTATTTTTAGTAGAGACGGGGTTTCACCATGTTGACCAGGATGGTCTCGATCTCTTGACCTCGTGATCCACCCGCCTCGGCCTCCCACAGTGCTGGGATTACAGGCTTGAGCCACCGCGCCCGGCCTAACACTTTCCTCTTTACATGTTTCTGCATTGAAATATCTTCCAGGACAGAAACTAGATCTTAATTAGCTTTATAGCCTCAGTATCCAGAACAGTAACTCAGTAAGTACTTAGAGAATGAATGAATGAACAAGCAAGTGAACTAATGAACTAATTACACAAACTACAAACACTTAGAATACACGAGGTCTAAAGGGTGGTTGTACCGTCCTTCCAGATTCTACAGAAGAGGTGACTGGGAAGAAAAGCACTGCACAAAGACCAAAGGTTTGCAAAAGCTGTGGTTTCACTGGTATTTTCAATAATTACATATACAACAAATTCAGTATTTCCACTGTTCATTACCAGCTTTTACTCTTAAAAAAACCAAGCGACTTCTATTCTTTTCATATTTTTGGTCAACTTCTGTCTTGCAAAGTTGCTTGTGACACACAGTAACTTATTATAGGTGGATCTGTTTCATTCTTGTGAAAAATGAGTATCTTTGACATTTAGGTTATTTCAGTTTGTCAATTTATGTAGAAAAATTACAAAAAATACATTGTATTATCACAAAATAAATAATTAGAAGAAGTGATAGAAATGTATTTGAAGTTTTAAGTTAGTTGATTTGTGGGGTTTTTTCTTAAAGAGGATTAACTTCACAAATTTCCTTTAAAACACACAATAACACAATAGTTTGAGTTTGAGCCTCTCCTTCCTCTCCTTCAAAATAAATACATATAATCTCCTGAAAAAATGCAAAGTACACTGGAATGAGAATCCAGAGGCCTGCAGTCTTTTCCTACATTAATCATTCAGTCTATAATCCGAGTCAGTAACTTCCAAATCTCCATCTGCTCATGTATAAAGGGGATTAGATTTAATCAGTAATTTTCAAACTGGACTATAGAAGCCTCAAGGATTCTGTGTGTTTCAGGGTTGGAGGAATAGAGGATAATTAAGAATTTGTACTTCTTAAAAAGAGTTCAAAAATTGCTACACTATATGATTTGTTAGGATTATTTAATATCCAAAATCCTATTATTCTATTTCTTTATCTTATTCAAAACAGCTATTAGTCCAAAAATATACATCCTTCTTAAAAATCATATAATGTATGCAATGGAAATCACTGACCTCTAAACATTAATGGTATCTGTTGGTAACAGTTGCCCTATTGTTATGTAACAGCATATGAAACATGGCCTTCCAGAATTAAAACTAGAAATTATTGTCCCTTTGAGTCAATTATCCCACTAATGTAATTTTTAATATCATAAGCATTAAAAAGATATATTTAAGGAACTGAATTATTATTTTTAAAATACCTGTACTATAAATTGTAATTCTCTTCTTTCTGCTTCCCATTGTTCTGCTTGTAATCTAAACTCCTCCAATGCTGTTTCCCTGATATGAGACTCCATCTCATTCTTCTCCTGTTGATGTTTTTCCAACGCTTCCTTCACATAAATAAAATCTTGCTTTACTATTAGATCAATAAAAGTTATCTTTCTTCCTTCATCCCCAGTTTAAATGTACAAAGAGGCTCTCCTTGCCTATAGATGTTAAAACTCATCATAATTCATGTTAAAATCATTAATAAAACTATCATTTGATCATCAGAATGTAGATATGAGTAAGAAACTATGGTAATTTAAGCAACAGGTTATACCTTGTTTATGTAAGCATATATTTACCTATTACCTAAATATAAGTATATTTAAGCAACAGGCTGCATATACTTGTTTATACAGACATATATTTGATCCAATTTTTCTGAAAAATGTAACTTCAGAGGTTTGAACAAAATGTCAATATATGATATTAAATGATATATATAAACAAAGTAGATTCCATTTAGTATGGAAATCTCTACCTGTGATCAAAGTGTTTGGATTATCCCTGACAATTTATATATAAATTTGACACAGAACAATGTATCTCCAATAGGGAAAAAGGAGCAAAGAAAGGAATTCTGTGCAACAAATTAGGATAAGGTAACTCTGGAGTGTTAAAAATTTGAAAAGCAAAAAACAAAAAATTTAAGTATGGACTGTAATTTCTAGTTCTATAGATAAATAATACTTGAAAAATTCCATTTCCTTTCGGGTTTTCCAAGGTGTACTACATTTGCAAGATCTAATTTGGTTCAATATCTTAAAAATATAAAATGCAATGTGCTGAGAAGCCCAATTTTCTAACTATAGGATTTTAAATTAAGTTCCCATTAACAGAAGAAGAAAAAGTCTATGGTTTACATTTGAGAGAAAGAAAGCCTCTCATGTCAATGTAATGGTAGCATGGATCTGTGTAATAAATATTACCCTCATAACTTATAGAAAGCCCTCACAAAGAGCCTTGAGGCTTTTTTTCCCCCAAGGGTTAAATAGTGACTCCAATTCAACTCCAAACTGTCCCAAGGATCTCTGTGCAGATCAGTTTAAAGCCAATAGCCTAAAACCAAAGCACAGTTATTCTAAGTAACTAACTGAGATCATATCAAAATCTTCTATCTTGAGGTGCAAGCTGATTGGCTAAAGAAATGCTGCCATGATCACCCTCCTCTCCACATAACTTCAAAATATTTTATGTGGGGAAGGTTAAACAGGCCCATTCAAGGACTTATAATATCAGCTACCACCTAAACCTCCCTGATTACCACACCAATGGAGCCCTTCTATATGCCAGCTACTGTTCCCGGGTCTAGGAATATAGTAGTAAACAAAAGAGACAAGCTATGCTACTGATGTGGAAGAAATCAAAAGTAAACCTGTTGGCAATGACAACATCTGAGAACCACTGTGCGAAAACGTTTACATTTTGTAAATGCTTTTGTATAATGAATTTTTAGTAAAGATACATTTCCAAAGTTCAAAAAAGCCACTTACATTTTGTAAACTTTTACATTTTGTAAATGCTTTTGTATAATGAATTTTTAGTAAAGATACATTTCCAAAATTCCCAAAAAAGCCATTTACACCAGTGGTAACACAGTAGAACATTTTTATCACAGTTTTTTTCCTTTTTTTTTTTTTTTAGAGACAGGGTTTCACTATGTTGCTCACGTGAAGTAGAGTGGCTACTCATAGGTCTAATCATGATACACTGTGGCCTCAAACTTCTCGCCTCAAGTGATCCTCCCAAGTCAACCTCCCTACTAGTTGGGGGAACTACAGGCATACACCACCATGCCTGGTGTTGTCACGTTTGTTTTTTGCTTTTTTTCTCATTTTTCATTATTCCAAAAAAATGGCAAATATAGACAACTCAAAATCTACCTTGTAAGTCACTGGCAACTTCAACTTTATACCGCTTTTACTTTAGGGAGTAAAAAAAGAACAAAAAAAATGAGGGAATAAATGGCTCACAATAATTTTAGTAAAATTTAAATATGTTACATATCATATCTATACATAACATGCTCTACATAGATAATGAAGCTCATATCAAAAGCACAAATATTTTTCTATATTTATTGTATATTTAGACCAATATGTCAGGCCCATATTTCTAAAATTTCAAATTTTCATGTTGCTGGACAAAATGAGCTCTAGATTTTGACCTTCTTACAATATGCTTATATAAGTTCTTTGTTGGTTTTTAACATTTTGATTAGTGGCTGCAAACTGTTTTTCACCCCAAAAAGTAGACCTATTAATACAATCCAAAAGAGACCAGCAAAAATGCCACTAAAAAAGAAGAAAAGGGAGGGGGGAAGGTGGGGGGGAAGGAAAGGAAAGGTAAGAGGAAGGAAAAAGGAAGGAAAGAAATCCAGGATAACTTCAAGTAATGTACAACACATCTCAGTGAATAGGAAAATTCCTTTATAAAAACTACTTTACCTGTAGAGTTTTCTCTAGTCTGCTTTTTTCTTTCATAAGTAGATCATATTCTCGATTGTAATTTTGGATCATATTGTCTCTTTCCTCCAAATCGTGTTCAAACCGTCTGCATTCTTCTTTCCATTTTTGCTGAGACGTCTGAAATGCTTTCTCAATCTCATTTGCCTTTGCTTGAAGTTCTGAATTCTGTGCTATTAAGAACAGAATAATAGGTAAATTTATAACCATGAATTAAATAACAAGGAGCCCTAAAACCTACGCATTGGAGTTGACACCATTTACAGCATGATCTTAGGATAAAACATTTAACCTTTCCATTCCAGTAAACTCTTGAAAACCTTTCCAGTTCAGTAAACTCTTGAAAAGCTCAGTCTCTGAACCAATCTATCCTATAATTTCTCAATCTCTTCTTCCCCTTCAGACAACAACGATTTTGCTATGAAACAGTGTGACATACTTCTGATGGCGTATCCAACTTTAGGTGCACTTCTAGCAACAGCTGCAACTCTATGGGTTTTTGTCCTATTCGAGAAAAACAAACCAGCTGAGTGTGGTGGTGCACACCTGTAATCCCAGCTACTCTGGAGGCTGAGGTGGATGGATCACTTCAGCCCTGTAGTTCAAGACCAGCCTGAGAAATATAGGGAGACCTCCTCTCAGATTTAAAAAAAAAAAAAAAAAAAAAAAAGAGAGAGAGAGAGAGAAAAGAAAAATCAATTTTATTTTTTAGACGGAGTCTTGCTCTGTTGCCAGGCTGGAGTGCAGTGGCACGATTTCAGCTCACTGCAACCTCCGTGTCCCAGGTTCAAGCAATTCTCCTGCTTCAGCCTCCCAAGTAGCTGGGACTACAGACACATGCCACCACCCTCAGCTAATTTTTGTGTTTTTAGTAGAGACAGGGTTTCACCATGTTGGCCAGGATGGTCTCAATCTCTTGACCTTATGATCCACCCACCTCACTTCCCAAAGTGACCCACCACGCCCAGCCAGAAAAATCAATTTTTAAGACTGTGATATATAGGGCAAGTATTTAAAAACAGGAGATTACAAATGTTGATATTTGACTATTGATAACAAACCAGCTGTGACATACCTTACACAAGTGTCACAAAGTTGAGACTGGAAACCACTGCCCCAACACTTAGAACTGTAGCTATTTACTTCCCCAGATTTAGGTGCAACTCACCTCTTACCCTATCAACACACTACCACTGCTGCTCTGTTTCAGCACCTAGAAAAGAAGGAAATGCTTCCAGGTCTGGCTCCATCACATGCCACCTGATTAAACCTCCCTGATTCTCTGATTCTTACCAGGAATAAAAATGTTCCTAGTTAAGGCCAGGCACGTGGTGGCTCACTCCTAGTACTTTGGGAGGCCGAGGCAGGTGGATCACTTGAGGTCAGGAGTTCGTGACCAGCCTAGCTAACGTGGTAAAACGTCATCTCTACTAAAAATACAAAAATCAGCTGGGCATGCTGGTACAGGCCTGTACTCCCAGCTACTCAGGAGGCGGAGGTAGGAAAATCGTTTGATCCTGGGAGGTAGAGGTTGCGATGAGCTAAGATTGCACCACGCACTCCAGCCTGGGCAACAGAGCGAGACTCCATCCCTAGTTAGGTTGTTGTGCAGATAAAATGAGGAAATGTTTATAAAAACACAAGTTAAACTAAAAATGCCACAGTTGCATTAGCAGTAGTATTTCTAAATTATATTTCTTTGCACTTTGAATGAATCATACGTTCAAAACATTCAAAATACAAAGGTATAAAAGGTACAAAAGGAAATGTTAAAAGTCTCCCTCCCATTCATCAGCCATCTCCAGAAGACATTTTTCCAAGGTCTCTCATCCAGCATTGCAGGAAAGTAGTCTGAGGCCATTTTGACTTATGATGCTTCGTATTTGACCTAATTTTCTTTTCTCTTGAAAGCTTTAGGATCTTCTCTTTGTCTTTATTTTTCTGAAATTTCATAATGCTATGCCTTCAGTAAGTCTACTTCTTTCCATAACAGTGAATATTCAATAGACTCTTTCAATCTGGCCATTTATATCCTTCAGTTCTGAGACGTTATCTTAAGCAAGTTCATTGATGATTTATCCATCTCTGTTTTCTCTCTAACCTCTTTCTTTCACTATTCCCTATTATTCAAATGGGACTTCAAATTTTTTCATCTCTTTCTCCTATTTTTCTACATCAGTCTTTTTAATTCTAATTTCTGGGAGGTTTCTTCCATCTTCATCTTCCAGGGCTTTTGGGACATTTTTCATTTCTGCCATTATATTTTTAATTTCTTAATTTTTCCAAGCCAAACTGTATCCAGCTTCATTAATTATACTTTTCATAAACAATAATGGTATTGCAGGCAGGTATTTCAGTTAACAGTATACAACTTTCAAATCCCCTCCTTCAAAGGACTATCAAAATCAGAAAGCCACTATAAAACCCAATGACAACTTCATTCGATGTTCTGAACAGGGAAAGTTTAGCGTGGGAGTTGACACTTCACATTAACACATTGTTTAACAACTTTTCAAAAGCCGACTCTGACTTTTAGGAAGTGAAATGAAAATGGCAGAATTTATCAAAAGATCTGCAATCTAGAAACAGAAGTGCTGCTATTTTGAAAAGTACCATCTCAGTGGTGTTGCTGGAAAGTCCAGATTGCCTGATACACTGGCAGCCAATTACCGGGAGTCAATCCCAAGAGATGTCTGGGCATAAGGGAGTTAAGTCTATGCTGAAGGTGGAATGGGAGAGGAGGACATAAAAACAAATTTGTTTTTCCACACCACAAGGTGTTTGTGCCAGGGTGGCTATGTCATCAGGGAATCTCTCCTCCTGGGAGCCAAGAGGAAGTCTCTCAAAACTAGAAGGGAAAGGTGTTTTCCCCACATCAATCCACTTTGGAGACATTCTACTAGTAACATATACCCCTTCCCCAAAAAACAACAATGACATGTTCTGTGGGGTAATAATACAGCTTAAAAAAAAAAAAGTACAACGAAGTCTGCATTTTCACAAAACTTGGTTGAAAAATATTTCTAACTGTATAGGCACCAAAAGTTATCAAAAATGCACACACTTCACTTGGCATCTCCAGCACCCTAGCTCATTTATTGGGAAACTCCCAACTCAGTATCATTAGGTTTTTCCTCCTGGCTTTGTATTAGTCCGTTTTTCACGTTGCTGACAAAGACATACCTGAGACTGGGCAATTTACAAAAGAAAGAGGTTTATTGGACTTATAGTTTCACATGGCTGGGGAGGCCTTATAATCATGGCAGAAGGCAAAGAGAAGCAAGTCACATCTTACATGCATGGCAGCAGGCAAAAAGGGGGCTTGTGTAGAGAAACTCCTGTTTTTAAAACCATCAGATCTCTCAAGACCCATTCACTATCACAAGAACAGCATGGGAAAGACCTGCCCCCATGATTCAATCATCTCCCACTGGGTCTCTCCCATAACACATGGGAATTATGAGAGCTACAAAATGAGATCTGGGTGGGCACACAGAACCAAACTATATCAGCTTGGTCAGGTGACACACAGAAGAGGCCTCCAACATCCTGAATAGAGTATAGAAATCCAGATGTTACACTGGTCATTAGAGAAATGCAAATCAAAACTACATTGAGATACCATCTCATGCCAGTTAGGATGGTGATCATTAAAAAATCTGGAGACAACAAATGCTGGAGAGGATGTGGAGAAATAGGAACATTTTTACGCTGTTGGTGGGAGTGTAAATTAGTTCAACCATTGTGGAAGACAGTGTGGCGATTCCTTAAGGACCTAGAAATAGAAATTCCATTTGACCCAGCAATCCCATTACTGGGTATATATCCAAAGGATTACAAATCGTTCTACTATAAGGACACGTGCACACGAATGTTCATTGCAGCACTGTTTACAATAGCAAAGACCTGGAACCAACCAAAATACCCATTGATGATAGACTGGATAGGGAAAATGTGGCACATATACACCATGGAATATTATGCAGCCATCAAATACGATAAGTTCGTGTCCTTTGTAGGGACATGGATGAACCTGGAAACCATCATTCTCAAGATGAGACAAGAACAGAAAATCAAACACCGCATGTTCTCACTCATAGGCAGGTGTTGAACAATGAGAACACATGGACACAGGGAGGGGAACATCACACACTGGGGTCTGTTGGGGGGAAATAGGAGAGGGACAGCGGGGGGTGGGGAGTTGGGGAGACATAGCATGGGGAGAAAAGCCAGATATAGGTGAAGGAGAGGAAGGCAGCAAATCATGCTGCCATGTGTGTACCTATGCAACAATCTTGCATGTTCTTCACATGTACCTCAAAACCTAAAATGCAATTAAAAAAAAAAAAAAATCCAGATGTTACCTTTTGGGGAAGTCAGTATACAAAAGAAGCTGGGCATGGTGGATTACACCTGTAATCCCAGCACTTTGTGAGGCCAAGGTGGGAGGATTGCTTGTGGCCAAGAGTTTGACACCAGTCTGGTCAACATGGCAAGACCTGGTCTCTAAAAAAATAATAATTGTTTTTTAATTAGTCAGGTGTGATAGCATATATCTGTAGTCCTAGCTACACAGGAAGCTGAGGTGGGAGGATGGCTTAGGCCCAGGAGTTCGAGGCTGCACAGAGCTATGATCACACCACTGCCCTCCAGCCCGGGCAACAAAGTAAGACCCTGTCTCTAAAAATAAAAATTAATTAAAAGGAAGCTGGAAGGAATGGTTCCCCAATATCTAGCATTCAGAATCTTCCTGGTTTTGCCAGTCAAAAGACTCTCTATTTTACCATCTCCAGGGATTAAACCTCCACTAGCAATTCTTAAGTAACCCCAGAGTAGCATGCTCACGGAAGGAAATCCAAGGACCCATCTGCCTCTCAAACAGCATTCATCTGCCCCTCCCACACATAATTCCAATGGTATCTGGTGCTTCCGGTTTATAAGCCTTTTGACTAAGAATTTGTCTCTCAGCTTTTCCCACTCCTAACTTAGGATTCTAATATCTCAATTATGCTAACTGAGTTATTCCTCTGCCATTTGCTTTCCAGCTTCCCAAATTTTCTCTCTTGTCACATTCCCTATTCTCTCAATTGCTATGGGATTATCTCATAACTCCATTAGGTTTTTTCCACCACTCTCAACATTTCATTGTAAAAATTTTTAAAACACAGAAAGT